AATGCTTTGTTTGGTAAAATAGAAGACTAAACATTGTTTTAATGTGTTTAATATGTAATAATGTGTTTTGTAGAGCAGAACATTTTAGCAAAACTTTAAAAAAAATGCATGAATGAATCGGATCACACATGTTGTGCTGCATGTTTGTTTTTGCATGCCGTCCGTCAGGAAACACTGTGCGTGTCGTCAGAAATACTTAAACACAAGATCATGTTTTATGGAGTTTTGCTGTTGATGGAGGATCTAGATATCGTCAGATTGTCAAACCAGGAGTGTGTCTGTATCTTGTAACAAACATACACATCTTTGAAAATGGCCTTCTTCTTAAACGCAGAAGTAAACCTATGGGCAAGACTTCCGCTTCATTAGGGACATAACCAGAAGAATTACAAAGTGCAGTAAACTGTTTGTAAAATCAGTGTGTTCATAACTAAGATAATACACTAAAATAATATGGCAAGACACTTACAATATCAAGCAGCAAAACGAGCGGTCTCGTACAGCAGAAATAAGCTGCTTTCCTCCTCTTCCATGCAGGAGAGGGACAAGTTCTACATGTCTCGTGTGGTTGTTCTGGAGTTGCTTCAGGCTCTGAAGTTCAAGTCATCGATTCCTGATACGAACCTGCTGCTGCTGGTGCAGGTAATGCATCTGTGAATCTGCGTCTCACAATAAGGGAAGGTGGAGCAAACACACGTGGATGCATAACTAGTTTTCTATTGCTAGTACTACTGATATGTCAGACAGCTTCTGTGACTGGTCACATTTAATGTAAAAACAATCAAAGACTGGTGTGTAGTTGAGGGATGATGAATGAGACCGCTCAGGATCCGTCTGAGAGAGTGATATCGTCTCGTCTGTCGTCTCAGTTTGTGTGCACAGACATCGGGACCAGGCTGGCCGAGTCCACCATCCTCCAGAAGCACATGATCTCTGCTCTGCCCGGGGTGAGACTCGTCTGCTGCAGTACTGATGTGTCTGCTCGTTAGTGCTGACTGTAGACGTCACAGCTGTTCTGTCCCCTCAGTGCACCACAGCAGCGATGGAGTGCTTGCGGCAGTATCTGAGCGAGCTGCTGGACTTCATCGCAGACATGCACACGCTGACCAAACTAAAGGTACTCGTCACACTCATCTAACCGTCAGGCCTGCAGTGGGAACTCGTGTGTCATGATGTGTCATTGTAGCTTCATGGAAACTTCACACATCTGTCTCATCTGCTGGAAGCTGCTTCAACGCTAGAGCGTGGCGCTAGCATCAATAATACCATGGATTTTATTGTCAGGAAAATCTGTACTGTAAATGCAGGGTAAGGGTGGCGTTGCACTAGCTGATTTAAACAGCTGGATTGGTGTGGAAAATCAAAGGGTGTCACAGATTAAACAACTGCTTCTGAGCTTTCTCACGTGAAGCTGGTGAAATAAGAACAGGAGCAAACGTTCCCTGTCATCATGAACTGAATCAGGATGTCATTGAGTGTGTGTGTGTGTGATGTGTGTTTGCTGCACGCTTTACTTCACACACTCACCCAGTAAAACAGCTGCTCACACACACTCATGTACTGTTGCCTCTGTTGACTTGAACTGTTTGGATCGGCTGAGTTCTTCAGAAGCTCACTGATCACGAGCACGGGTCGCACAGACAGAATGTAAGTGTTTGAATCCGTCTGCATCTCCAGCGATAATGTAAATGAGGCTCTGGACTGGAAATCAGCTACTGAGAAGCCTTGAGTCTGTTGGGATGAAAGTGTGTGCCGAATGCATGAATGTACAATGCTGAAAGCGTGTGTGTGTGTGTGTGTGTGTAGAGCCACATGAAGGCGTGCTGTCAGCCGCTGCACGAGGACACGTTCGGTGGGAATCTGAAGGTCGGTCTGGCTCAGATAGCAGCGATGGAGATCAGCAAAGGCAACCACAGAGACAACAAAGCGGTTATTCGCTACCTGCCTTGGCTTTACCATCCGCCTTCTGCTATGCAACAAGGGTAAACTCCACCGTCATCACCGTAAACATAACATTTCTCAAGAGCAATAAATATGAGATATTAAATATGATTTCAGTTCATAGGTTCACCACACGGTCATATTATATAATTATTCAATTATTTTGCATCCTCCATATAGTATTCTAGGTTTTGTCTGAAACTGAGGACGTCTCGTATTTAGACAGCTATTAAACCGCAGCAAGCCCACTGATCTGACACTTAACATCATATTGAGCAGAGTGTGTGTGTGTGTGTGTGTGTGTGTGTGTGTGTGTGAGTG